TAGGAAGTCTAATATAATAATATATTTGGCATAAGCAAGGTTGAATCATACTTGGTTTATCAAAGAGTATGTTTTGAAAACCCATATCACTTTAATTCAAGCACTTGACACACTGATGTGTATAAGTGTAATCCACCTTATTACATTTAAGCACTAATGTATCACATGCAGTTTAAGTTTTTACAGCTTATCTCAGTGAGTTGAAACACTGACGACACAGTGTATTTCAGAGTAACCCATTCCAGCATTACTAACTCACTTGTATACATCTTACAACCCATCTCAGTGAGCTGAAACACCATTAAAACAATGTGTTTCATAGCAATCCATTCCAACATTTCTGGCTCACTTGTATACATCTTACAACCCACATCACTATGATGAAACAATGCTGTTATTTATAAATATGCTCACACACAAAAGATATTTAGTGTTCAATAATACTGACTCTGACATACATATATGCCTGTAAACTGAGTTAATTATCTTTTCTAGATTCGTACTGCCCTCTATATTGTGCAATTTTCACTTGCCACTAGCCTTGATACTCTCACCTACCTCCACGTGGTTCAGCTGCAGAGTAGCATGCAAATAAGCATGTGACAACTCTCCACAAATAGGAGTGCAACAAACTCTCCTAGCACAGCTGGCTCCCTCTGTGCATTAGAATCCTATCTTCACTTTGAGATTAGGCAGGAAAAACACACCACAAATGGAGAGGAAGGGTGGGAAGTATGAGAAGAGGTAAGTATCTATCACAAATAATTTTCAATGTAGGAAAATGTTAACTTCTGATACCATAACTAACTTCCACTCACAAAATATAGAGAAACCTTCATTGGTGAGAGGGAGGGACTGATGTAAAATTACCAAAATGAGCCCCTTTCAGAAGGCATCTGGAGAGTACCCATGGAGGTTGATGGAGGAGGGACAGGGAGAGAGGAAGAGGTAACAGTGGTGACAACTGTAGAGGTAGAAGTAATGGGAACCATAGTTGAATGGAGCCACAAGATAGACTCGACATTGAGTAGCTTGGATAAGTGAAAGGTCTCTGGAAAGAAGATGGATGGAGGGTAAGCGTAAATATAGTAGTTCCTCCAATCCTGACTGAGGGCATCTATCACTAAAGCCAAAGGATGTGGAACAGGTGATCAGAACAGAGGAAGTTTTGTATTAAAGGAGTGGTAAAGTGTTCAGTTGGGGTATATCCAATTGAAAGCATAGTCACCTGAATAACTGTTGTTTGAAGGATCACTCTGGAGGGAGAATCTTGTTGGGACAGGACAAATGATCCACAACAATATTGAGAGCACCTGAGATATGACATGCAGGCAATCAAATGAGATGGCTGTGAGCACAGAACAGTACATACAAATCATGAAAATACAGGGACCAGGACCAGGTGCCCCCTTGCTGAATGATGTAAGAGACAACAGTCAAGTTGTTGGAATGGATCATTACCCTTGTAACTTTTAGAGCTGGTACAACATTATCCATTGCCTGGCAAACAGCAAGGAGTTCCAGAAGATTGATATTGAGATTTGACTCAACTAAAGACCAATGATCAGAAATTTCTTGGGCATTGCAATACTCCCCCAACCTGATAAACATCCATAAAAAGGTGTATATCTAGTCAGGAAGGATAAGAGTAACACCAGTCATGATGTTGTCTCCGTCCAGACACCAGGTAAAATCAGCTTGAAGTGAAAGGAGAAGGGATATCGAGTAATTCAGAGTATCTAAGGTGAGGTTCTATTGATCAAGAAGAACCCACATTTGGGCATGGCCAAGAGGAATACGGGCCTCCAAGGAAGGACAAGTCCCTAAAAGAGAAGGAACTTCTTGCACAGGAAGAAAAGGTGAGGATTGCACCTTCTGAAAGACAAACTCCATTGAATTGATTGAGATGGGAATTGAAGAACACCCCAAGATGAACGAGGTATTTTGTTGGTGTGAGAACTGATTTCTCCACCTTGACAATGACAAGCCATCCCGCTGCCCCGAGCCGATTTTCTGAGGAGAAACTTTATTTTGGTGGAAGAAGTTGAAAGCAATGGATCTAGAAGGAGCCAGTCATCCATGTAATGGTGGAAATGAAGTCCATGTGAATGGAGAAAAAGGGCAAAGGCCTTGACCACACGACAAAACATGTAGGTTGCTGAGGCTGGCTCAAATGGTAGAGCCCGGAACTGATATACACATTCTTCATGGGCAAAGCAAATATAATGACAGGATATTGGGGCAATAGGGATGTGAAGGTAAGCATTAGATACGTCAATCTTCATCATCCAGGAGTAAATGCCCATTGAACGGACAGGTAAGACTCCATGGTGAACTGAGGAACCTCCATATAACAGTTAAGACTGGAGAGGTTGATAATTGGATGCTAATTCCTGGTCTTTAAAGAGACCATGAACAGACATGAATAGAAATCTAGGAGAGCAGGAACTGCCAGTTTTATAGTTCTCTTGAGGAGAAGTTCCTGAACTGCTGTGGAAAGATGCTGATTGGAGACTGGATCCCAAGGGGAGGGAAGGAAACAGGAAAGGCAGTAAAGAAGGAATGGAGGAATTGAATGAAGAGTTCATCTGATAAGGCCTGAATAACACAGGGGTATGTGGTAAAAGTTTCAACGCTAGTGACAAGCAAATATTGCCCACTATAGAGGGTAGTTCAAATCTAGGAATGCTATTTTGTGAGTGGAAGTAAGTTATCATATCAGAAATAAATGTATAAAATGTTATACATATAACTATAAGGAAATGCTCAATGACACATGTATATATTGTAAAACATTTTGTGCAACAGTTGTTTGTGATTAAGTATGAGATACAGTTTTTTATCCAATAATATTCACAGATACTGGCACACATTAAAAATTTATCAGTGAAAGTAAACATTGGTGCATGACAATGTCAACCACGCCACATATGGGCCTGAAATGGCCTGGTGTTTAGGAAGCTTGACTCACAAACTGCGGGTAACAGGTTTAAATCCATGTCACTGAACATGCTCATTCTTTCAGTCATGGGGTTGTTATAATGTGATAGTCAATACCACTATTCATCAGTAAAAGAGCAGTCCAAAAGTTGGCAGTGGGTGGTATTGAATAACTGCCTTAGGGATGACTACCTGAAGAGGAAACAGTTACCACTAGGTAAATCCACCCGAGAATTACAGGTGATGCATTAGGATCTGAGGTGCCCCAATAGTCGTAAGTAGCCTTGGGACTCAAAAATTCAAAAACAAACCCCATAACTGCTATATCCAGTGATGACAAATGTTATAAGTATGGCTAGCAGGATACCCGTGTTGCTCGGGGACCGAAGCACTCAGTTTGGTGACCACTTGATTAAAAAGAAACTAACTAAAAAAGTTTCATAGTAATTGTGGCTGAATTATAATTCTTTCAGACAAAATATTTATTTTCTTTGTAAGAGAGATACACAATTAAAAGAAACTTGACTTTTGTCGAAAACATAGTCAGCTGAGGATTTCATAATAAACAATGTTCTTAGTTTTTCCACATGAAGCATTTACATAATGATTTTTGGGGCTTCCAACACGTGAACATCCACCATAGATCTGTCCATGAGAGAAACAGGGCTCTTCCAACTGCAAGCCAGTTACCTTCAATGTCTGACCTTGCGATTTGTTGATAGACATTGAAAAGATTAAGCGAATGGGAAACTGTAGTCTCTTAAACTCAAATGGTATATCAATGAGAATCATTGGGATTCTCGGGATGAAAATATCTT